GAGTTTAGCCCCAAAGACACAAGCAGAGCTCAGCAGGGTACAGGTGAAAGTCAGTCTGCACTGTTGGAAGACTAAGAGAGTTTCCTGGAGTCACAGAGATATGAGTATGGCTCAGAAAATCTACTGGATGCAGCACTCAGGGAGTATTAACTCCAGGGAGCCCTTACCAGCTCTGGGCCTGCAGGGGGAGACAAGGAAGTTGCAGTGTCTTAGCAGGAGCAATTGCCCTGGAAGAACAGACTTCTGCCAAGATCTGTGGCTTTAAGACTAGGAGCAGAACAACTGAGCACAGCAGTGAGGAGCAGAAATGCAAGTATCTCATAATCTGCGGGGACCTCTCATGGGCCAAGTCCACATGGAAACCGGAGGGTAAGAGAGTCCCAGAGATGAACTCCATGGAGGTTAGTCCCAAAGACACAAGCAGAGCTCAGCAGGGTACAGAGTTAATGGACCCAGGGGAGGAAGAATGAGCAACAGCAATCACTGTGTGTGGGGGGCGGGGGTGGGGGGCAGCCACCATTCAGTCAATCAAATACAACAGTAAGCAAAACAGGTAAGGGTCTGTCCAGGGACAAGTTTACCATCTGGTGGTGAGCCATGGATAGCATCATATAAATAAAGATGAGGGTTTTGCAGAGTGGTGAATGCTAGGCAGAAGAAACCATATAAAGAATAGAGAACTATCGTGAGCTGCTGCAGATAACACAGTAAGGAAAAAGTTCTTGGAGTAGAGGCATTAGAGGTCAGTTGACCACCAGCCAGCCTTGATGCTAGCTAGATAGCGGTGTAGATGCACCAACTGCTCAGTTCTCTTGGAAATGAGCGGAGGGAATTGCAAGTTGGAAATCGCTGTTAGCACTCTTACTAATGTACAGCTTATAGTCTTCCTCACAAGGCCAAGTGCAGATAACAGCTCTGCACGGTCTCCTCTGGCTGCTGTGGGTACCAAGGACAGGGACTGAGGATTCTACCTTGCCCGGACCAGTCAGAACAGCTCAGAAGTAGGGGGCATTTACTTTCACTTCCTTAGGCCCTCAAGGGGCTACTCCTGATGCTTTATACAAAGAACACCAACAATAACTGTTTCTCCTTCTCTCCTCCTGGGTGGGTCCCCTTGATGCGAACTTGACAGGGATTCTTCACACTACATATACACACTGATGCACACAATGATGTGCATACATACATAAAGACCGTCAGGGAGCTGAAACATGTGTCCCAGAAGCTCGAGCACTGCCTGCTATGATCATGCTCGCATTCAACAGTTCCGTAGCCCGTTTGGGCCCGATTTTCCTTTCTCGCGCTCACTCCCCTCTCCTTCTGCATTTCAGGCGCGTCTCCAGTGGGAATTCGGCACTCTATGAGTATTTTTTTTAATAGGTAAGCTTCCTCAGTCAATAAAGTCCTTCCACTGCACTCCCTTCCTCCGCCCCCCAATGAAAGAGGGGTGGGGGCTCGGCCCAGGGCGCAGCGGCCAGGCCTAGCCGCTGGGGTCTATATTTTGTATTGCGCTGACAGCCCAGAGCCGCTGCAAAGCCCGCCGCGCAGCCAATGGGCAGCGGTGATTTATGGAGCTGACTAATGCCGGCTGAATGCCGCCTGTCACAGCCCCGTGAATGGCTTCCCTTCGCCGCACAAGCCCAGGCTTTGTGTTGCTAAGCGATTAGAGCAGATGTAATGAGATTTTGCCCAATCCCCGCTTTGCCCTTTCCTAGCTTCGGCAAAATTGTGTGTGTGTTTGTGAATTTTGAGAGTTTGCCTTCGCATTGTGGCAAACAAGGGCTAACTTTGCCTCGAGTTTAAGGAGACTGGATATTTCCCATTCAGAAGTGAGTAAAAGAACACCTGTCTTCAGCAGAAGGGGCGGGAGATGCCCTTTGTGGGGGACTGAAACATTATCCTAATGTTATATTCATAGCCATAAATGACTTGCTACACTTTCTTTGCCTACCTTATCTGGAAACTTGCAAAGGAGCTAAATTAAAAGAAAAAGAAATGGGGTAGGGGCTGGGGAGGAGGAGGAGGGAGGGAGGAAGCCTAACTCTGGTCCTCCAAAGGAGATAAAAATAAAAGCAGGCATCACAAAAGCATTACTTCCTTCAAGTAAGCTCTAAATTGGCCCACTCACTGCTGGCAGAAAGTCCGATTATTTATGGCGACGAGGAATTTACTGATTTTTTTCCCCTTAATTACGCTCATCTCTTTGAAAAGGACTGAAGCCTCAATGTGCATTCTATAGAGGGTCATTTAGCAAAATGACATCAGACGCTGTGGCGTGCTCCACGCATCGTGGCTTTAAAAAATGATTATTGGGTCCCCCTAAATGGTATAGATGTACCAACACAGACTAGATTTTTAACTCTGGAAGACGTGCTGGCTCCCTGTTCTTTGTTGGGTTTTGTAAGATGCATTTTGCGCTTGGGCTTTCCGCTTGGCTGGAGACACGCAAATTGAATCTGCAAGTACTGCAGGCAGCGAGCGAGGACGGGGCAGAGGCAGAGTAGGATTCTGAGCACGTCCTTGCTAACTGACAAGAAGCAAGCCAGCCAAAAACCCACCAATTTCTTTTTGAATCTTGGTAATTGGGTACTTTTACACGCAGCTCACGCCATTTGGATAGAGTCACAAGCTTTGATAGGCCAGTGTCTCAAAGCGACCACACATTTCTAAGGATTTTATTTCTTTCCATCTCACTTTGCAAGGACTTCATATCCCAGTGTTCATTTAAAATTAATTTGCAAAGTGTCATTTGGGAGGAAGGGGAGAAGGCATGGAAAATAAATGTCGGAAAGAGGAGAACGTAGCCCTTACTGGGAATAGCGAGAGTACCACCCTCTTCATCCCAAAATCCAGCAACACTGACCACTCCTCCACTCACCCCTAGAGTCTGGTCAGTGAGACCGTCCTCCATTTCCACAGTAAGAAACTTAGTAGTGATAAGAGTTGAAAAGTAGGGGGGAGGGGCAAGCCCTCTCCAATTTCCAGTTTGAGTTTTTTTTTTTTTAAATATATGGTCTTTTTATCAAAGGAGGCAGACATTAATCACCACCCCCCTGGCTGCATAAGAGCCATTGTAACCATTAATCTCTAGAAAATTCTTTTTCTCCAAACCCATCCTAGAGCTCCCTGAGTAGGATGGGCTATAGCACTTATCTTTGTCATTTCTGACAAGTAGCATATTCTCTGCCACCCTGTCCCCTCACCCACTCCTTACCCTTTGGCGGTTCAGTAAATAATCTGGGCTGGGTCAGTGGAGTCAAATAAGACTTAGAGACATGAATTATTTTCTTTAAAGAAAAAAGAAAGAAAAGAAAAAGAAAAAAGTTTTATTACGAAACTAGTTTGTATAAAACAGGGTTATACACTTTTTTTTTTTGTAAGTTTGTAATAAAACAGTCAGGGGTGAGGGGAAAGGCAGTGATAGAAATTTCCCAAAAGACAACCAATGAAAACCGACTGGCTGCCACTTTATGTTTGGACAGTAGCTGCATAAACTTTGTTCTCCTTGAACAGTATTTAATAACATCATTAATACATTAAACAAAGTTTCTATAAAGTAAGACACATTGGTGCTGAAGTACATCTGGTGGCCTCTTGACCTCACCTATAAGGAGAGTTCTTGACAAAGCACATAGGGGCGGGGGTTGGGGGGGTGGCAGTTGTAAGGTAAAGGACACGTCTAGAAGAGGTGGAGGTAATAGCATTACATGTTAAAAGTATCAAGATATACACATTTTAAACCATTTGTACAAAACTCTATAAATTTTTTCTTTCTCTCTTATGTACAAAAATATCTTAATATATCCCCAAACTGGTTAGGATAGATACAAATAGATTTTTATAATAAAAAATTCACAAAAAGATTGGAAGCATTCTATAATGAAAACAGTAGAAAAGACGATGGGAGGGGGGAGGGAGGGGAGGGGAGGGAGGAAAGTAAGGGTAGGAGGGAGGGAGGGAGGGACAGACGGACAGAGGTAGGGAGGGACTGAGAGAGGGAGGGAGGGAGTGGCTCCCGGAGAAGGGACCCTCCGCAGGATGGACTTTCAAAGAACTGAGTATACTATAATTTCCCTGCAAGCAAAAGCCTGCAGTATATTGGCGGGGGGGGGGGGGGGGGGGCGAATTTTGGGAGGAAAAGAAACCAATCTCTTTTTGGAGGGCTAAAAACTGCTCGTGGAGAGAGGGCGGGAGTTGAAGGCACCCGAGCCAGCGGCTGTGGCTTGACCTGTTAGTGGTGGGTGGGAGTTTCTGGGGTGGGGGTGGGGGCCTGGGGCTCCCTTGAGCTCGCAGCCCTCTGCTTTTGTACACAAACTGCACTTCGAGCTTTGCCTGGGGTCTTCTTCACTCTTGGTTCCGCGATTGGCTGGCGTGCGGGACACCACGAGGAGCGCAGCCCAGTTTTGGGAGAGTCTTGCTTTCTCTAGGGATGCGTCTCCTCTAGGCCTTGGGATTGACAGGTCCTCTGTTTTTTTTTTTCTTCTTCTTCTTCCTCTTTTCAAATTTTTTTTAAAAATGATCTCTCTCTGTCTCTCTCCCTTCCAACGTGGTTGATGAGAAAGCACTGAAGACACAGGTTGTGTGGTCGCCCTACAACATGAGAACAGGAGAGATTAGTGTGAATTTAGGCACGCGTGGTGGGGACAAACCGAGGGGTGGGGGTAGGGGACCTGTCAGGAAGAACGCCACTTTTGACAGTTCCAAAATCTCAGCCAGCGTCTCCCCACCCGACCCTTACCTCGAGGCCCCAGGAGAACTGCCCAAAGGCACCCTCGAGGTCAATGTTGAAACTAACCAAACATTCAAATTTGAGATAGACACAAACAGTCCTTTAAAGCCTCCCTCGACGCCCCTCATGGAGACACCGCCCTCCCCCTCCCCATCATCACTAAAAGGACGGGGCAAAAGGGGTCCCGGACCAGAATAAACACCTGTTCGCGCTAACAGGCGACTCACCTGCCTCCCAAGTCCACTCGCACCCGGCCTGAGCAGGCCCGAGCGCCCTCAGAACCAGTTGGTGAAGTCGAGCAGCTCTTGCTCCTCGGGGCTGAGAGGGTCGTAGGAGCCCTCGTCCGAGGAGTAAGAAGAGACCGGCGAGCCGGCCATGGAGTTCATGTCGTTGGAGTAGTTGGGGGAGATGGTGGGCGACAGGACGCCCGCCTGGAAGGCGGCGCTCACCGCGTCATGCTCGTCCAGCAGCTGCTGCAGCGCGCGGATGTACTCGACGGCCGAGCGCAGCGTCTCCACCTTGCTCATCTTCTTGTTGGCCGCGCCGTTGGGGACGTGCTCGCGCAGGGTGGCGAAGCCCAGGTTGACCAGCTTGACGCGGTTGCGCTCGCGCTCGTTGCGGCGCGCCACGGCGGCCGGCTGCTGCTGCGGCAGGCTGTAGCCGAAGCCGCTGAAGTTGAGCCGGCGTTTGCAGCGCATCAGTTCGGGCGACGACGAGCGCTGCCGCTTGACTTGCTTGGGCGCCGACTTGTGACCGCCCCCTGAGGGCTGGCTGTCGCCGGCGGGGCTCAGCTGGGGCGCCGGCGGCGGCGGCGGCGGCGGCGGCGGCGGGTGCTGCTGTGGATGCTGCTGTGGGTGCTGCTGCGGCGGCGGCGGCTGTTGCTGCTGCTGCTGCTGCTGCTGTTGCTGCGCGCTCTGCGCCGCCGCGGCCGCCGCCGCCGCCGCTGCGGCCGCCGCGGCCGTGGCAAAGAAGCAGGCGGCGGGCGGCAGGAAGGGAGGCTGCGGCTGCGGCTGGGGCTGCTGGCCGGCGCCGCCGCTTTCCATCTTGGCAGAGCTCTCCATGCACTGCGCCGGCCAAGGAGTCGCGGGATCGGAGCGAGCCGGGGCCGCGCGCGGTGTGGGGCGCGCGAGGGGGGACACCGCGCGGGACTCGGGCGCGCGAGCACAGAGAGGGAAAGCGGGGGACAGACGGAGAGGGAGCCCCGAGGGAAGGAAAGAAAAGAAAAGAAAAAAGAAGAGAGCCCCCCGGGAGACTACTCAGGATGGGAGCGAAGAAGGTGCCCGAGCTGTTCCTCCTCCCTCCACGCTCCTGCTCCTCCCTCCCCCTCCTCCCGTCGCGGTTTTGGCTCCGGGAGCTTCGCGTGGCGCTCGCGTGTGAGGCTGCCGCTAGCGGTTTTCTCGGTTGGCTTTTTTTTTTTTTGGTTTGTTTGTTTGTTTGCTTGTTTGTTTAAAAAGCCACAGATGCAGCAAACGTCAGTGGTGAGTGCGCGCCGTTGGGTCTCCGGTTCTTCTGCCCCCTGGGGCAGTGCTCTCTTGCGCGGAGTCTCAGTCTCTCCAACCGTGGCTCTGCCGGGTTTATTATGGTTATGATTATGAGCATTTGCTTAACCCCCCTTTCTTATGTCCTTCTTTCACTCGCCCTCCTTGGCCAGCTCCCGGTCGGTGCGCCTTCCACGTTCCCTGGCCAGAAGTGAGAGAGTGCCGGGCGGCCGGAGTGCGGCCGCCTTTTCAATGGGACACCCTGCCCCACGCGCAGCCCTGGCCCCGCCTCGCACCCCACTCCCCGCTGTTGCAGCGAGCGGCTGCGGCCCCCCCTCCCCCCTCCTCTCACCTCCTCCTCCCACCCAACTCCCTAAACTCCCCCCCTCCTCCCTCCCTCCTCCCCCCCCCCAACCCCCCGCCCGCCCGTTCCGGGAGCCCGCTCCTTGCAAACTCTCCATTCAGCCGGGTTTGTTGTTGCAGTGCGTGCGCCTGGCGCGTGCCGGACTCCCGGCTGAATAAACAGGCGGCGTGCTCGGGGCGGGCTGCAGCTGGGGGTGGCTCTGGAAAGGTGGGGGGCGGCGCTGCAGGAGGGGTGAGCGGCTTCGGGTGTTGGGGTGCATGCATACAAAGGTTTGGGGAGAAGTGCACCCCCCGGAATGCTCCTGAGAACTTGGAGCAAAACACAAGGGATAAGTTTGGGTAGTCAAAGTGGCACGGGGCGCTCGGGAGGCTGCAGCCCTCCCCCCCACCTCCCGCCCCTAATCCCAACCTATGCACTTCATGCTTTCTGTGGTTGCGGTCAGGGCGTTCTCTGTCCTTAGAAAAAGAGGCAAATTTGCTACTGGAATTCTGGAAGAAGGGGAGAACTCCGTGGGACCTGCTGGTCTCTGAAAGTCAAAGTGCGTTTGAGACCTGGGTTCTCGTGCCACCGTTGGTACTCATCAATTCTGTGCTCCTTGGGAAGGGGCATTTTCTCGAGTCTTACTTTGTCCGTCTGTAGATACACAAGGTTGTATTAGATGGTCTCCAATGTCCCATCCAGGTGTAAAAGCTGGGATGGGAACCCCAATACGGATTAAGTGAGTGCTGGGGAGTGGGGGGAGAGGAGGGCTCGGTCTGCATTGAGGAGTGGTGGTGGCTATCTCAGCAGGTAGGAACGCTTATCAGGGGTGCCCCATCCTGAGACTCGCCAGAATTGCTTTGCTGACCACCAGCCCCCCCCCCCCCGCCCCAAATAAAACCCAGAATATTTCCTGTCCTCAGGGGACACTTAAAGAGGGGAGAGATTTGGGATATTCCCGGGGTAGGTCTGGGGGATTGTGGAGGAAGAGCGTGGGTCTGGGGAGGAGGGTGGAGTGTTTGGGGTCGGCGGGTGCCTGGAAAGGTTCCCTTGTTGTTGGGCTGCGCCGCGGGCACCTTGGCGGCCTTGGCCCAGCCTTCAGCCCGCCCCAGGCGTGTGCCCGGCGGGCCGGTGGCAGGCGACTGGGAGCTGAGCCCGGTGGGGCCGCGTGCTGGCGCCGCGAGGGAGGGGGAGGCGTTTGCCGCCGCCGCTTGGCCGCTCGGACTGCGCCCGCCCCGGCTCCCTTCCCGGGCCCAGGGCCCTGGCGCTGTCTGGTCCAGCCGGGTCCAGCTGCGAGGCGCTGCGGGACGCCGCGGGGCCAAGGGGACCGAGCCACGCGACCCATCTCCTTCCCGCCCCCGCGGCGGACGCCAGGGCCTTAGGCTGGGCGCGCCATGGGTCTCGTCTACATAGAAGAAAGCAGAGGGTAATCATCCGGTTGATTTGTCCAGTAGAAAACGACAGTTTTGATCCGAGGCCTGGGTGCGGGGGTGATTGTGGGGAATTATCCGGATAATCGCTTCTTATTGAACTTCCCTTTGTGGGGATGTGTATTTCTAAAGCTTGGGGGTGGGAGGGGTGCTCTGGAAGCCTGGTTTGGTGCTTTGGTGAGTGTGGCTACGTCGAACAATGCAACAATGTATTCTCTGCCTCTGGTCGGTCTTTTCAGACCCGGATTTGGAAAGCAAATCCCCGGAGAGTGTCCTCCAAGACTGGTTCTCTGCACCTCCCTAGCGCCCTCACAGTCACCTGTGGTTTGTCAATCCCGACAGGACTTTTGACGACTCCTGGGGACTCCACAGGACCTACAGTTTTGGTCCCCTCTGCAACTCACCGCAGGAAGGGAGCTGGGAGGTCTCCTTCTCCAGGAAGTCAAAGAGATGATGAAGGCCCCAAGCAGAGGCAGATCAGCGCCTTTCCAAGTGAAAGAACCTACCAGTCGCTTGGGAATTAGCGGTTCTACAACCATGTCCTGGTATGAAGGCCACTAGGAGGCGTCTGGGAAAAGCCTTCGGCCTGCAGGGTCCACTCCTTAGCTGCGGGTAGGGAAGACCTTTGAGATGTGTGTGTGTGTGTGTGTGTGTGTGTGTGTGTGTGTGTATTTTGTGTATGTGTGTGTGTTTGCGTGTGTGTTGTGGAAAGCATTGTTGACACAGAAGCATCTAGTTGTGTTAAGCTAATTCATTACTCTGAATTATTTTCCAGTCCAATTATTATCTTATACTTGACAAAAGTCCACAGTACTAGATTTACCAATATTTTGCATTGTAGCCATCAATGAATCCATCTTCCATGACCACCTCCAGTTTCTGGTGGGTACAGATGGGTGAACACCAGATAGTAGAACTCAGCTCATTGCTTTTCCAGAGAGGGCTTCTCAAGTGCAACAGAGAGCCCAGTAACAGCAGACTATATTCACACATACACACACAGAAATGCCAGCCAGTGAGGTGCCCCTTTATAATTGGGTTCAGCCCTGGAAAAAAGACAGTGGGTGCAGGGATCCTTCCTGCCAAAGCCAGAGGAACACTTGTCCCTATTCTCTCAGGGTCAGCCCTGATCCAAACCCCAAGCCTCATGCTCTCTGCTTCTTACATGCATAGCAAAAGTGAACACAAGCCCAAATGTTCTACCTACTCTAGTGAACGCCAGGGAATGCTTTGCTCCCCTAGCCTGACATTGCCCTCCCCACATTCTCCAATGCTGATGGTTACAATCTAGAGTTTTTTTTCCCCAGGTGTTATGGCCCAGGTTCTTGGAGACTGTGCATCACCATGGGAGATTTTCCCACTGAAATAAACTTTCTGGTTGCTTCCAACACTTTGGAGCAAAGTTCTAGGGCCCAAGAGAAGGTTAGAATCCCTATGATGACCTCATGGTCTAGATTATGGTATGTCCCATCCTCTAAACTTCCACTTATTCTCTTTAGCCCTGGGGGGTTGCAGCCATAATCCCAGGGGATTGTTAAACAGATGGACTTGCTTGGGTGTCTAGGTTCTATCTTTGACAGTTGTGACCTTGAGCAAATAGTGCACACTGAGTCTTGCTTTTCCCTCTCCTACCAGGCCCCAAATTGTAGTATCTCTCTCCAAGAGTGGTTAGATTTCAACCAGATGTCTGTGGAGCACCCCAGGATGAGATTGAATGGAAGGGACTAACAGAAACTGGTGGGACAAGTCACATTCACCCAGCCCATCCAGAAAAGGGCCGTGGGAGGAGGGTGGCCGGTTCTGACTCTCTGGAACCCTCAGTGATCATTGTTGCAGCCCCTGGTGAGCCAGTGTCATCTTATCTCACCACACTAGTCACCTGGAAGTGGGTACTAATGTCACATTTGAGGACTGTTGGGGAACTCATGGAGGAAGGCATGGGAGATTAGAACAAGGTTTCATCACAGAGTGTAAATGGGCTCAAACACAAACTTGATTCCTGGGCCACACCTGGCAGCACACCAATAGAGTCATAGTCCTGACCTCTTCCTTGTCTTGAAGTGAGTCTTCAAGAAGACTCTTCTTCAAGTCAGCAAGAAGTTGTGCAGCAAATCCTCAGGGCATAACTTGGCCAGAACACCCAAGGACCCATTGACTTTTGAGACCTTCATCCTCGAAAGGATTTGCCCCGGCACCCCTTTCCTTACCTATCAGAACAGTCTGGAGAAATCTAACGCAACCCCTCCACTTCTACCAGGGGTTGCCATTCTTTTTATTTTCAACTTAATTAGGGCCCCTCTCTGAGCAGTGCACAGTCTAGTGGTAAGGGCCTGCAGTGCTCAGTACAGGGTCATGCTCAGTGGTGTTCTGGATCCAACTCAGAGTAGGTACATGTTAGGTCTGTGCTCTACCTCTTGAGTTATCTGCCCCTCCCCCCACTTCTTGTGATAGTGAGTCAGAACACTGGCCCCTTTGGTGACCCCAGAATAGTGGATGGAGGACATTTCTCAGAATATAGATTTTGCAGAAAAAAATGGAGAGGGGTTTCTTCTTCTGCCAAATAACACAGAACTTCATGTTTACACTTTCATACCCCTCTTGTATGTCCAATAATCCTGGATCAAAATTTGACACTAGGACATAGCAATCAGTGACTGAGAGCTTTTGAAGGCAGAACATTGCAATCTGTGACCAAGAATTCTTGAAGGCCTGGTACCTACTGGCTAATTTCCACTCATAGATAAAGACCAGTCCGGGGTCACCTCTTTTGCATCAACCTCCAGAATTGCACACTTTCTCTTTGTGGAAAGGAGACCACCTCATGTCTTAAAAAAATGGTGGGAGGGGCTGGAACGATAGCACCATTGGCAGGGTGTTTGCCATGCACACGGCCAACCCGGGTTTGATTCCCAGCATCCCATATGGTCCCCTGAGCACCGCCAGGAGTAATTCCAGAGTGCATGAGCCAGGAGTAACCCTTGTGTATCATGGGTGTGACCCCAAAAGAAAAAAAAGTGGTGGGAGGAAGTTCGAATTAGAAAGGAAATGAGGTTTTCTATGATGTATCACCTCACAAAATTATATTTTATCCTAAATAAAGGGTAACAAGAAGACCACGATGAATACAGGCTTTCCATTCTTGATTCGGACACACCATTTTAGGTGCAAGCCTCAATGTTGGTGAGCACCAGGGCCCAGATGCCCCTGTTGCTGGGGTGTGCGGAGCATTCAGAGCAGATGCCAGTAACACAGGACCTCTGCCCTGGGCTGTGTGTTACCTTGCACCTGTGTTGGACACTGTCCTCCCCAGGCGGAAATGAAACATGTATGTTTTCCCCACAACCTGCCGCCTTCCTGTCCAAAATCCACTAGGTAACTTCAGAAACCACCTCTGCTCGGCCTGAGTGGGGTTTGTCCAGTTGATGATG